GCAAGTGTAACAACGACAATTCCATCCCGATAATAATAGCAACCATTTTCCTATAGTAACTGCATAGATGGACAGCTTTTTCGTTGAGCCACAAAATTTGAAAACTATTTTCTGAGGAGTATTTATTTTCCCTTAAGACAGGAGCTCATCCGCCTGGTTGTTTGGACTCAACCACAACATCTGTACCCCATTTTACATAGCATAAGTCACACATTTTCGCACGATAAACTAAGCTCTGCTTAATCTCGACTGGTATTGTTTTGCTTCACGCAAAGCTCACCAAACTTTAGGTTAGCGTGGCAGAAGGAAACTCTGTTCCCGGGTTTCGAAGAGAAGTGTTGAACAATAACTTTAAGTCGGATTCTGGGCCAACAGATAAACAGAAAAGTTGGTTTTTAAGTTAGTGCTTCTATTTCAAGTTAAAGATTGTGATGAAGAGATTCGAATTTCAATCCCATCAGAAGACAACAGAATATTTCTCTTGGTCAGAATGTCCTTTGGCTTTCCTGGAACATTCTGATCGACTCTGTCTTCGAGACAACTTTCGCTCTACAGCTTAAAGAGACCGCAAAAGAACCTAAGGCCACACAATCTTGGTCTCTATATCTACGAGTGAAAAAATTAACGTAAATGAGTATTTAAATTAGCCGAAGCTGCTTCAAGTGATTTAAGGACTGATAGTTGAATTTTCCCTCAATAAGATGAGTATACCTCACGTTCATCAGAACCTTAAACGTTACTCGAATCCGGGAACTGCAGCGTATTCTCTCAACATTGAAATTATACACTGCACCTCCTAGATTCTATTTCTATTGGACGTGCTAGTGGGACCCAGACGAAATCAATGCTGCGCTTCATCCTAGATGAGAATACCCTTCGGGAGACATGACTATGTGAAATGCATTGATATCCTGAGGCCTACCCCTTTGATTGTGGGAAAACTCAACTAAGAGCCCTTCGTCACATTATACAAGCCAGGGCGACTACAGCTCCTACTTAAGGCTAATTATGTTAATGAGTGAGATGATCTGGTACTTTGCAGGAGAAATATAAGGTCGAAAAAGATGCCATGAACGGCCTACACAGTATTCTGATGTGTCGAGTATCACGGAAGTGATGGTCCACACGTGCTGGCCCACTTTTTCATTGCCTTCCGACTGGCTACTAATGGGATCTTCCTGGTCAGGCCTGATCCAGATGAGGGCTAATATAGTTGGAAGCTAAAAAAATAAATTTGTGAAGACCAAGATGGCGTGGATATGAGAAAGGTGAATAGCTCAGGACAGAATTAGAGTTACCACAACTGTTTAGCACGCATTTGGTCAAAGGATCGGCTTCACTTGACTTTTTGACGAGTTGTAGTGTGGTGCTAAGAATGGCGAGACTTACTGACGATACCGACTACAATGCTGATGAAAGGTATGGGAATGTACCACGTCCATGCTCCGACTTTGGAAATGATCATGCATACAATGGACTCCCGACTAAGTGCGTTCCTCTAACTCGCCCTACTAATATGGCCAAAGCGCGAAAACAGGGTCAAACAACCTCTAAAAAATGAATATTTGTTTATATTCAACATGACCTACAAAGTATGAGCGACTCAGGTAGTTGGAATCGGGCCAAAATGTGAAGTGAATTGGAAGGCAGATTTATTGGGTCTTGACGCTTGTAATCTGAGCCTCACCCATTATCTTGAGTCAGAAAAGATTGAACACCAATCCCAGAGACTGCAGTAAAAGTGGCAGTATCGATGCCATCTTTATCTCTCCCCCCTCATTTTGAGTTTTTCTCTATGCAAGAATGATTTAAAGTTGTAAATTATTCTCAAATAAGAACCTTATACACTCTACATCCTTTAGGCTGATTTAAACATAAAAACTGGGTTAATACTTTTTCTTTAAGGTGATGAGGGACATGTAGTTAAATTTTCCCGCAGTCATATGAGTAAGCCTCATGTTCCCATGGCATTTACCATAGCCTTGCTTACTAAAAGTTATTCTCATCCAGGCAAAAGTGGACTGCAGTTTTGACCTTACCATGGTCTAATCAGAATCCCCAGTCGGACTCGAACCCAGATTATGATAGCGCAGTGTATAGTCCCGACGCATTTACCACTACACCACGATGCCACGAGTGTTATCAAGTTAGAGAGCAGACTTGAGTTTTAAGGAAGCCTATGCTTTTCCCATATTACTTTGTGTGATGGTGGCGTCAATGCTATAGCAACCGTTTGCATTACTTGAAAAAAGAAAAGAAATATTAAAAGATTAAATAAAATTTCTCGCAATGAATATTGTAGTTCTCGCGATGCCATTTAATCCCACTCAACCTTGCCTCCAGAAAAGTTTACTCATCCATGATGGAATCGTCTGCAGGTTTCACTAGAACTCTTGCTCTCACTGTTAGGTAGGCTAAATTGTTCTTTACCAAAGGCTGAGGCGAGTCGGGTTTTACCCGATTTTATATTGCAGTGATAGCTGCTGTGCCTACCATAATCAGGGGCTTAAATTTTACACAAATTTCACTGTCCTCGATTCATCAACACTTGATTTCATCTCCTAATGTGCCCCCAGCGGGCTACGAACCGTGGGCGTGAGGATGGAGGTAAAAGTTTCACCATATTAGCCACCCATTGGGCAAGATGACAAGCGTGATTTTGCCACACACACACACATATATATAAATATATATACATATAAGCACGTCTCAAGGACTATGTTTGCCTAAGCGTCTCGACTAGACTCTCTTTCTCTTCTGGCGAAATATACAAACAAAGCAAATCACAAGCTTCCAAAACGAAAGTAAATCATGAACCACATCAAAAGCCAGTAACGCTTTCCTTTAAAGAATAGATTTCATGTCATGATTCGAACTTATCAAGGATTGAATTGTCGACATAATATTTACGGTGAGCCGACCAGAATACAACCAGATGATTTAACCATAAATTCGCTAAATAGCTCGCACTTTTTAGAAAAATTCCAAGCACTATTCATCAAATGACTGGAGGAAATACGGTCCGGTTGAACATAATAAGTCGCAATGCTCGGGAAACTATAAGCAAATATTTCCTACGAAGGTATAAAGACCAAGATGATATGAACTCTATAATGATCCCTGTCCCTTTTGTTGAAATAAGTGGTTTGGCCTCCGTTTTGTTATGTCGTTAGGGTGACCTAGATGAGCGCACCTTGTTCAGAGTCCTCGCCATAGTAGCCATGATAAGTTCCATTGTCTGACAGTTGATTTGAAACACTTCCAAAGTACAAGTCCATGGTCCGACACCTCAGCATCATGAGACTTTTCTGCTGAAGACGAGGTCTGCAAAAATTCAAATTCCACTAGAATCAACAAAATGAGTGTTTGTTTGAGATGCGGTCTTAGACATCTTGGTCTCATGAAATATTGTTATTCTGTGCTAAGGTCACTTGTTTTATAAAACCCTTCCTGTTATTTTAAGGATTTGGTGTAGATGAGATAACAATCATGGTACCGCTGCCAGGATACCTTTTTATGCAGAAGATACTTTATGGGCAAACATGCTGGGTTTACAGAGTACAGATCTGCTGTTAGGTTCAAGTCCCTGCCACCTCATAGCCTCCTCAACGCCATGTCCACTCGACGCCCGTCTTTAGCTAGTTTGGGACGTGAAGCTGCAAACTACGCGATTGAGTGCAAAGAATCTCGTTGGAAAAAGTTGAGGATATTCATTGGTGGGATATTCAAAAGCTCGGGACAATTTAATCATAACACAATCCCCAACAGAATCGCTTTCAGGTCAAGGAAGAGGACATATTGGAAGTTCTAAGAAGAATGCTGCAAGTTCGACTACCTTCATAAGAATCAGGCACAGTTCTATGGACTGATTGACTCTTAGTGGTCCTCAGATAGGTTCTTAGTCATGCAAAGAAGGAGAACACAAACGGGGCAAGGGAAAATTTGGACTAAGAGCTCGGACTAAGCATATGGGAATGTTATTCGTTTCATGTTTTTTGAGGTGATACAAGGAAGACTCTGAACTCTACTCTTACAGCTGAAATGGTAGTCCTTGATCATCCGGACCGGAGGAGGAAAAACAAAGCCGAGAGGAAGCCTACCCACATTTTGTCCGGCCTTTCCTGAATTTTATGAGCCTTTTACCTTCATGTGCCAACAATTCTGATGTTGACAAGGGGGCCTTCATCTGATGCACTCTTAGAACAAATGGTTTTTTGGGTGAGGCTGACTGAGAAAAGCTTGGCAACCGACTGGTGAGAAGGCCTCGGCTCCAGACTCGAACTGCACTTTTGAAGGAGAGAACAGCCGTTGGACAGGGATTTAACGAGAAGACGAGTGTGAGTAGCGAAAGTGAGCCTTGTCAACTCTCAAGGGACATGCCACTTTCGATACATTGTTCCAAGGGAGTAGGTGTAAAACCGAGAAGGATAAGAAAGGGTCAGAAAGGACAGTAGAAAGAGGATTCATGGATTTATTAAAATTGTATCTTCTTTCCTAGCAAATCATTTACTGCTTATGGTGGGAAAAAAACTCTGCGCACAGACAGGCATGAATAATTTATGTACCTTTGTCTCAGCTCCCTGTGAGTGCGTCCACACATATAAAACTGATTCAGCCTTAAAGTGTTTTCTCTATGTTTGGCCGGGATACAGTCTATAAGTGTGGCATGGAAAACAGTAGACGTAGAGATACGAATTCACACTTTTCATCTTCTAATTAAAAAGTATTGATGTATTCTACGAGGACTGACTCTGATTCTGTTTAATGGGATATCAAAACAAAGGACAAAAGTAGATGAGAAGTGAAGCTATCCCTCGGAGACTATTTTGGCATATGTCTGATGAAATAACTTATAGAGAGAGGAAAAAGGAAATTTAGCAAGTTACCTTCACTATCCTATTGTAGAGGCTCAATCTGTCTGTCTTCTGCAATTAGCCTGGAAGCTCCTGGACACTGGGCACGCTGCATTTGCCAATTTTCTTTACCTATATCATGTAGTTTGGTCATATTGGCAGGAAGACCCAGAGGAACGCACCTTGTCCGGAGTCCATAGTATGCATGATCATTTCCAGAGTTGGACCGTGGACTTGGCACATTCCCAGAAGTCTCGCCGGCGTCAAAGTCGGCATCGTCAATGGGTCTTGCCAGTCTTAGCAACACACTAAAACTCGTGAAAGAGAGAATTAAAGTCGATCCATCGACCAATGTCTGCTAAACAGTTGTGCTAGCTCTCCTTCTGCCCTGGGGTATGTATCTATCCCATATATCAAAACTGTTAAGCAGACAATTGATCAAAGGATCCGCTTCCCTCCTCTCTTTGCCAAGTTGTAGTGTTGTGCTAGGCATGTCAAGGCCTGTTGATGATGACGACTACGATGCCGGCGAAACGTCAGGGATTGTACCACGTACACGGTCCTACTTTGGAAATGATCGTGCATACAATGAACTCCGGACTAGGTGCGTTCCTCCAGGTCTTCCTGCCAATATGACCAAGTTGCGAAAACAGAGCCAAACAACTACCATACCCTGAAAAGAGACCGCGGCCATACAAGAGGTCACACCATCTTGGTTTTAACGGCTTCGCTTATACCAAGTAGTTTTGCTGTCAACTCACTCGAAGAGGCTTATTCATGTCAGTGTCAACTTACGATTCACCATTAGTAGACGAGGTAGTCATGCACCGAATTGTCGAGGGGATATTTAGTACTACCTGCCTCTGGGGCTGGTATCGGTTCTATCATGTTCCATTCTATTACGTTGAGATATTTTCTGCTCCTGAATAGTCTGCTGATTTCAACATAATCAGCTTAGCCTGGAAATTGACCATCTCCTTTTACAACATTCTCTACGAAACAAAGTTTAAGACAAGTTAAAACATTAGCTTATGCCAAAGTGCGTCTGATGCTCTTATAACTTATCGCTACGTGGCTGGAGCATCATGCCAACATTCATTATATTTGCATATGAAAGCTACAGAAGCCAGTTCTCTTATCACACATAACCAAATATGGTAAATACAAATAATCTAAATAAACGTAAGACAGGTCGCTCCAGAAGACAAGGCCTGACGGTCCTTGACATACAATTTTCTAACTTTACAGGAAAGCTTTTATTACCTAAGTCCACCGCTTTATGTGAAATCGTTGTGAGTACCTCAAGACTCAATAGCAGAAAATCAACTTCTAACAAAGCTTAAATAATTCCTCAATTCGAAGTGCTGCATTTATAATTAAACTTTATCACTTACGATGAAAATATCTTTGTCCTAAACCTCACTCTTGCCTTCAACTAGACGGAACTATGGAGGTGTGTTCTGAGGCGTATCCAGTCTGCCAAGTATGACACAGTCATGATAATAATCATGCTGACTAAGCTCTTAGGAGAGCCGGGCAATATCAAAATTGCAGCCCTGTCTGGAGGAAAATGCCCTTCTGGTACACGGTTATTTTCACTAAAATAGC